GCTTGTAAATAACGTGACGTTGATTAATGTTACTGAAATGAGAAACTGAAAATTATAACTATTATTTATTTATTTATCTATTGGAGTTCTTCCAATTAGCTGACTAGCAAAATTTTGAGGATTTCTCAAAATCTTATTTTTAGATATTAATTTAATAGAGTAAAGCAGAAAAAAGTTATCCACTGTAAATGCACCATCTTCCAACAGATAGGCTGAAGTGACATGCAGGAACATAGCAATATGTGTCAATGCTTGGTTTCGGCAAATTTTCCGACAACAAATTGCTAACAGAGTTGGCAGCTCTTTTTGTCAACTTTATTGGGAATTTTTTGCTGAAAAATGAATGTCACAACAAGTGGGAGTAAGCGATGCAGGACACAGTCTTTGGTCCAAGCAGTAATGTAATATTCGTTTATTTTTAATATAAACAAGCAAATATATCTTTACCTGAATGGAATTGCTAATATGAAACGAGTCATATGCATGGATTATCATATATTTGATTATTATATGAAGTTAATTTGAAATGTACAAAAAAGAAAAAGAATAATTAGAATTGGAATATAATTAAGTGAAATATGATTAAGATGACCTGAAATGCTTAAAGATAAGTATTGGAAATATCCAATATGTCGCTATTGTTAACTAACGTTATAAAAATTAAAACTGCAAATTTCTATAACAATATACAAATCATTCAGTACCAATATTGTATCAAATAAAGTAGACAAAATTATTTAACAATATACAGATTAAATATGCCATTAAATATATCATCAACCTTTGATGATAACTATTCATTTTATTGGTTCCCTCCGTCTATGCAAATATTATCCTCTGTGTCATCCAAACTTTAAAAGCTGAAATTAAAATTCTCTTTTAAAACAATTAAAGCAACCATGTATATATGCTGGAGGGCAACAATTGATTGTTAAATTGAAATATTTCAAGTCATCGGCCAACCGGTCGAAATAATAATCCTAAGAATGTAAAACTGGATTCCAATGATGGCTATCAGAATGTCATTCTTCATAATATTACTTGATTCAACAGATGTTGCTGGGATCATCTGAATTTCCTGAGGAGTATCCAGTATCCAACAACAACTGCTCCAAATTTCAATAGTATGTTTAGCTACGTGCTACTGTCATACTTTCGTTGGAGTCAATCCAGAAACAGGAAAATGAAAATGAAAAGCGAAAAAGTATAAGAAATTATGTTAAACTATTTGAATCTTTGTCGTTCAATTCCAACCATTCTGAAACAAAAAGCTTTCATTTGAGCATTTCTGACATTTTAGGAATTCTTTATTTCACATTATTCTTCATTACATCGATGACATACATCATTTGGTTCAACCATTTGTTTTGCATCGTTTCAGCTCAGAACCAAACTTTCTCTTTACTCATCTAAACGCTTCTGACCAAATTCAACAGGATCGTTGGGGCAGTGAGTATTTCTCAAATGACTTTGATATTCTTGACCACTGTGATTTGGAGTTAATGCTTGGCACAGATGTGGATACATATAATAGTGAAATTATCGGATGTGATGGAGATTTGAATAATGACATTTTGTTCGATCCCTTACGGATTCTTGAATACATTCGATTGGTAAAGTTGAAGATATAAGCAATAAAGAAACGAAAACCGGTACAGATCTCGTCATTGTCGTGGAGAAGATTCCAATAAAGACTGTAAGATCAGGTTTCTTTCTTTAAGCAAACTGCTTTTCGTTTTCCATGTTAATCATGATGTGGTGTGACAAGTTTTCTTTGTGCTATTGGTAATTTTATGACTAATTTTCAAATTATGTTAACTAATTACCAAAGCAAATATAAATGTCATAACAAGACCTTATCAGATGACAAAAAGCATGCATGTGCATATCTGGGATATACAATAAGTATGGGGAATACAGTCGAATGAAGCATAGGGAAATGCACAGTAAATCATTTCGCTATCAGTGCAAATGCGCGAAGTGTAGAATGAATATTCAAATTTCGCGACATATTTTACAAGCACATGGCAACATATTAACTTAATATTCTGTCCAAAAACTGTAGCATGCTCCGGAACTCTTAACTAGTTTTGCAAATTTGATGAAATTTTAAACGTGTTTGTATCTAGCTGATCATCAAAGTTAGATTGAGCCTGTTTTATGTGCAGAAAGAAATAAATCATTTTTATTTAAATTGAAATTTGATGTAATAAGCTTATCTTGCGATATTGACGTTTTTACGATTAATTTTTAAATTATGTTAATAGTTGCAAATGGTAAAATGTTAATTGTAAACGCTAATATCATACAAGAAATTTTATAGATGAAGATGTACAATTGCTACAATGTAACCAATCAAGCGAGAGGAGAACATTTTGAAAAGGACAGTGAACAAGGTTCATATTCGTGCAGAGGGACTGGATGTGAAAAAAAATTATCATTCTCTAAAATTACTTCACTAACATAACAAGGCACATCAACCTAAACTTAGGTGTGATTTTTATGACGGTTTCTTCTCGTCTAAGAGAGTACTAAGAGCTCACAAGGTTTATCAACACAAAACTCGCAATAACACAGAAATGTATCTTTAGTATATTTGTCATATGTTTTTTTTTTGTCGTTAATTAATTAAAATTCAGTACGGATAAAGTTGTTGTTCTTCCTTCCATTTATATCCTTTACAACAATAAGTAATTAAATTTAAAATCAAAGAGTAATAAAACAATGAACAAATTTAGGCGCTTTGAAATTTAATTCGGTTGGTGTAACTTGATAAATTTATATGTTTAACAAAAAGTTTCAAGAAAATTTCTCATCTTATTTATCAGATTTTATAAATTTATATTATTCGTTGTAAACAATGTTGTCATTCAAAAGTTTTACATTGTTTCCTTAATATTATCACTAAAAAGACGACTAATTGAAATCAAAACTAAATTTTGTTACTCAATACCACAATAAATTTATAGCCTTAGGTAACACTATTTGCAAAATTAGTTGTTTTAAATTCGTTGTTATCAAACATTCGATCGTTATACGATTCTTCATGATTGCTCCATGTCCAATCCTTAAATTGTCAACCAAACGGTTGATTTTGCACAGAATGTCCGATAGATTCTTTAGTGAAGTATTCTTACTTTTGCAACAATAACTTACTTTCGCAATCTTCTTCTGCATGACATGGTCATACGAAAAAATACACGTTTTGTTGAAATTAATATATTTGATTATGATAAATGCTAATTGGGTCCGTCATTTCCTCTATTAGATCTTGCATCAAACGCCTAAAAGAGAAAAGGTATGATATATGGCAACGGGTGCATATTATCATAGCAACTCATTACTTCAGGTAAATTAAGGCTGGATACTATGATCGCATCCAATCAATATTTTGTTAAACTTCCTCACCTTTTTCTTTTGCGTGATTAGGAACACTTGGGGTAGCAATGAAGTAATGAATAAGGAATCATTGTAAAGTTGCTGATGAAATATGTAAGTGATTGGCTCTACGATACTCCTCAATTTTCTAAAACAATGGCCATAAGCGTATTATGTAGTTTTGAACGAAGTGAAAAAATTAGATCATGTATGGCATACTTGCTAAAACCATATTATCAAAGCAGTATTTTTATTTTGCTTTATTCCTAAATCAAAATTGATATATTTTTCCAAATTTATCAAAAACCTGAGAAATTTCGTTTTCTTTCCCATTTTTAAACTTAGATGATTAAATTATTCGATTTTGTTTTCAAATAGTTGCAAATGCTATGAAGTGATTGATTTATGTCTTGGATTGAGGATTGTTTCAATAAATTCGTAATTGTTAATTGCTAAA